AAAAGAAATTTAATTAAAAAATATTATTATATTTGATTATTATAATGGATTAGAAATATATTTTAAAATATAAATTGTTTTTATTTGTTATCTTAAAAAACAGATTCAGAGAACAAACAAAAAAGTTTATGTGATTTCTTTATTTAAAATAAAGGAATAAATTGAATTAAAAAAGTTATTTTGTTAATATATGCGTAACTATGTTTGTTGGATTCTGTAAATGAAATTGAGAAGCCTAGTCCAATTATCGCATGAGAAAATTTATGGGGCGCTGCCGGTGCTAAGAATAGAATCATATTGTGAAGCTGCCAAGACGTATATAGAGTGAGCATTCAGTTATCGCACTACCTCTCGTATTACCATTCTTATATAATTATTTTTACTGTCATAATTAGAAAAATGAAATTGTATTAGCATCGGGAATATACATATTTTACTTTTACTAGCAAAATAAATATCTTTTATATGAAATAAAAGTTTCATTTTTTATTATTTTTTTTTATAAAAGTTTCATATGTGTAATGTGTTTATTTTCATTTTTATCTAATTTTAAATCTGTCGTGTATATTAAAGAGGAAAGACACTTCAATTGTGAACGAGAAAATGATATTGTATGTATTTACAATTCCACAGTGACTGATTACTATAGAGTTATGGTATATGTGAAAGTATACACTTATTTGTTATGTGTGTAAATATATTTAATTTTAAAGTTTCAAAGAAGCGATGATTTTGCATATTCATTTACAGTTCATGATGGAACTAGCAATATCAGAATTTCGAGCGGCTTGCTAAAAAATCTGATGAAGATCACTGATGCTGCACTTTATTGTTCACAAATATATAATGTCAATGGCAGCTAATATTCAGCTCACTCAGCATATATCGGTCCCGGTAAGCGGTTCAGCGCGTAATCCATCTTTGTTGAATGCACTTATATTTGCAGTTTGATGAATTTCTGCATATCGATCACATAGATATAAACTTGGTCCTTCGTATTCCTTTCGATTCGGTAGATCATTGCGCGATTCTCAAACAGTCCATAGACGGCGACAACAGTCCATTGACAAGGCACATTTCTCGTTGCGTACTTACCATTGTCTATAGGTCGATTTCTAAGAGATGGACAATACGAGATGGTCACGATGTACCAACTGTCCGAATCAAAGAGCCGAACTTGTCTAAGTAACTTCTGCGGATCTCCCCCACCAACAAACCGCAGGTTGTCCAAGTCGAAGTATCCTGCCCCGGGTATAGCGTCTATCTGACCATATTTAGTGCGAGTCGCCTCAAAATAGCGACCCTTTCGACGTTTCAAATAAAACAGTTTGCCGGGGAGTTAAAACTCTGACGGTTCTCGTACCAACGGAGACGACATCTCAGCGCTAGGATACCGATTTCCTGACCGATGTGAGTCGATCGAGCGCTCGTAAATAATTATACTTGGAACAAGTATAATCATCGAAATGATTTTTTCTTTACTTATAACACTACGAAATGGAATAAAAAATTAATTGATTTATTTTCATCATTATATCTACTTAATTTATTAATGATGATTTTTCAAAAAGCAATCCACAGAATTATTACACGTACTATTATCGTAATTGAGTTTTCGGTTTAAAGTAGGACTGTCTCAAACACGTGGGCATTATAAATAACTAACTGTCCGTATTCAAGAATGCATATATGTTTTTGCAAATATGTATGATGTTATATATGTATACAGAGTGTAATGTCCTGCAATTTTTGGCAAAACGCTGTCATGTAGATAGAACGGACTAAACTGAGTCGAAAAGTCCTCTACCATTTTGCAATTTTCGCAATGATTAACCAGATATTAATTCATGAAAATAGCCAAATTCGCCCGGCCAAATACAAGCGCGCGAAATAAGATCACCCAGAGAGTGAACGTTCTAGTGACGAAGAACATTTTCGCCGGTAGGCCGGGCGAATTTGACCTAATACCTTAATATATTATAGACCGTGTTATTTGTGGATATTGAAAGAAATGATATTGTACTTTTCTGAAAAACAATATAAAACCAGCCTTAAAACAATTTTTTTAATATTTAAAAACTTAACATTATATATATAGATTTTCTTAAACAAAATATCTCTTTAAAAAAATTTTTTTACTATTAAAAAAAAAATACAT